CAGGTGTGGCTGCTCTCATCAAAGAAGTACACCGTGATTGGAGCCCTGCCGCGATTAGATCAGCCCTTATGACTACAGCTAATCCATTAGACAATACACAGAAACCCATCATAGATGTTAGTACTAACCTCCCAGCAACCCCCCTGGACATTGGAGCAGGCCACATTAATCCCAACAAAGCACTCGAACCGGGACTAGTCTACGACACAACAGCAGAGGACTACATAAAGCTTCTCTGTGCAATGAATTACACAGCAAAACAGATACAAGTTATCACAGGATCCACTCACAGCTGTGTCAATCGGTCTATCGATCTGAATTATCCATCTTTCATTGCTTACTTTAACAGAAAGGGCTCAAATTCTAGTGCAAAAGTTGTACAAGAATTTAAGAGGACAGTAACAAATGTGGGAGAGCAAAGGTCTGTCTATACTGCAAAGTTGACAGCAATGGCGGGTTTGAAGGTGAAGGTGGAGCCAGAGAGGTTGGTGTTCAAGAACAAGTATGAAAAGCTAAGTTACAAGCTCACTTTGGAAGGTCCAAAATTGCTGAAAGAAGATGTGGTCCAAGGCTCCCTTAGTTGGGTTGATGATGGTGGAAAATATGTAGTGAGGAGTCCCATAGTGGCCACTAACCTCGTGCCAGATTCTTTATTATAAAGACCTCATTGTATATGCCTCCATTCCACAGAAACTCACCTGCAATCTATTATTAAATGTGTGGTTAGTCTTGTAGAAGTGCTGTGAGAAGAAGGGGCATAAAATAATATGATCAAAATAAAAATAAAAAAATCAGCAAACGCAACATTTTTCAACTCTCTTTTCAATTTAGGCATTTTATTCTTCTCTTTTCGGTGGCTCTGTTATCTTTACCATTTACATTGAGAAAATGTAGCCAACGACACAAACATTGTCATCGCGATTGTGCAACTACTCGGTGTGAGAGATGGCTTTGAGTAGAAAGTGTAAAACGAAATATGAGTAAATTAAATGAAATCCATGTCCTGTGGATTCATTAAAGGCTTTTTATCACAAATAGTCCTTCAGGTTTACAAAATTATCACAAATTGTTCTTCAGATTTTTTTGTGACACTAAGGCCATCTCCAGCCATGGGCTATATCCCAAATATAGCCCTAAAATAATGCAAAACCCATCT